TTTCTGCGCTGCGCGTGGAGCCGCGGGGTTCGCCACGCGATGCGCTGCCCCACGTTTTTTCCACGCGGTGCACAGACCCCACGTGATTTTCTGTGCGATGCAACGACTTGCATTCCACGCAACGCACTGCCCCGCGTGTTTTTCAGTGCGATGCACTGACCCTACATCCGTGCAATGCGCTGACCCACCTATTTTTCCGTGCAATGCAATAATCCGCGTGTTTTTCCGTGCAACCCTCTGACCCCCGTGTCCGTGCAATGCCACAATCCACCTGTTTTTCCCATGCGATGCAGTAATCCGCGGTTTCGCATGCAACACGCTGACTCCCGTCTCCTCGGGAAGGCACGGTCCCCGTGGGTCGGGGCGGGATCCCCGTGCTCCCCCCCAACCTGCACCTCCCGCCCAGATCATGTTTGAAACCTTCAACGTCCCCGCCATGTACGTCGCCATCCAAGCCGTCCTCTCCCTCTACGCCTCCGGCCGCACAACCGGTGAGTAGGACACGCAGCGTCTGCCACCCGGGACCATCCGTGATGGGGAAGGGACCGAGCTGGCTTGGAGCCCCCCTCCCTCACCTTCCTGCCCCTTCCCAGGCATCGTCCTCGACTCCGGGGACGGCGTCACCCACAACGTGCCCATCTACGAGGGCTACGCTCTGCCCCACGCCATCATGCGTCTTGACTTGGCCGGCCGCGACCTCACCGACTACCTCATGAAGATCCTCACTGAGAGGGGCTACTCCTTCGTAACCACCGGTACAGGGGAGGGGGTACGGGCTGACGGGGCACCCCACAGTGCCGCCGCGCCCCGTGTTTGAGCCTGTTCACCGTCGTCTCCTGCAGCCGAGCGGGAAATCGTGCGTGACATCAAGGAGAAGCTCTGCTATGTGGCCCTCGACTTCGAGAACGAGATGGCCACGGCCGCCTCCTCCTCCTCGCTGGAGAAGAGCTACGAGCTCCCCGATGGGCAGGTCATCACCATCGGGAACGAGCGTTTCCGCTGCCCCGAGACCCTCTTCCAACCCTCCTTCATCGGTGAGCTCACCCTGAATTGTCCTGCCTGCCCCCTCGGTGGTTGACCCCCAT